TCGATGAGGTTGACGATCTTATCAGGGACTCCCTTGCGTCTCAGAGCGCCCCACAAGTTATCGTGGCTTAGTCGGTCGAAAGCTTTTTCGTAGTCAATGAATACCAAGTACAGTGACTCTTGGAACTCATTGACCTGCTCCAAGATGATGCGGAGCGTGACAATATGGTCCACACAGGATCTTCCAGCACGGAAACCTGCCTGCTGTCGTCGGAGAATCGCGTCGATCTTCTCCTGTATCCGATTGAGGCGGAACTTTGAGAACAATACACAGTAACATGATGCCTCGCCAGTTGTCGCATACAGTTGGATCCCCCTTCTTGGGGACTTTTACCAAGACGCCCTGCATCCAGTCGGTCGGAAAAGTCGTGGTGTCCCAGATATTGACGAATAGTTGATGCAACATTTGTGAGGATAGCATGGGGTCAGCTTTGAGCATCTCTGCTGATATGCGATCGACCCCCGGGGCTTTGTTGAACTTCATACTTCGGATGGCTGCTTCTATCTCCTGCAATGATAGAGCTTCAGTGTTGATACGAGTGACCCTTGGCGGATTATGCCGAGATGTTGATGGTTGGTTGACCGTTGAAACTTCGAGAAGTTGTTCAAAGTGCTCAAACCAACGTTTCAACTGGTCAGTGGGGTCGGTGAGTAACTGTCCAGTCGCGTCTTTCACAGGCATCCTTGGGTTCATCCTTGCCCAGCTCAGGCTTCGTGAAACATCATAGAGGAGGCGGATATCGCCAGTTGCTGCGGCTTTCTCCCCTTCATCAGCCAGAGAGTCCACTCACGCTCGCTTGTCCCGTATTCAGGAGCGCTTAACTTCCCTCTCTAGAACCGAATACCGCTGACGGGCCTCGATCTTGGCTCCTCGGGTCCTTGCTCGCTCTATCGTGGCTTTTGCCTCTCTCCGCTCCTCGATCTTCCTCCAGGTTTCATCGGTGATCCACTCCTTCCTCTGAGTGCGCAGCACACCCAGGTTGGTCTCGCTTGTTTTAATAAAGGCATTCTTGATGCCCGTCCACTGTTCTTCTACGCTGCCACCTTCCGGAATATTAGCTGCGTGAGCCTCGAGTTCTTCGACGAACGATCTCTTCACTGCTGGGTCTTCCAGTCAGCGTGTGTTGAATCGCCGCCCGAGTCTCTCCTCCCGCCGCTAAACCCGCGCAATGCGTAGGCGCATCTCACCGACCAGGAGATGATGGTCAGACGCGATGTCAGCGTTGCGTTTATTCCGAACATCAAGAAGGCTCCGTCTCCATTTTCGGCTGATGCAGATGTGGTCGATTTGGTTCTCTGTATACCCATCACGGGAGATACATGTGACTTTATGCACTGCAAGCAGCTCGCCGTTCTCGCTCATATCTCCGAGACCATGGCGTCCCATAATACGCTCATAGTCCGAGTTGTCGGAGCCGATCTTTATCCACGACAGCATTCAGTTGACTGTAAAAGTTCTCTTTGTCCTACAATTCGGCAGCATCGGTTGGCGCATAACATTGGATTATGGTGAGGTTTCAGACCCGTGATCTGAATCTGGCAACGATTATTCTCTCATTGATAGGTTCCCACTTGATGAGCGCAGCCTGCGCTTGGGCGCTAAGCAGAAAGCCAACTCCACGATGTCGCGGAGCGTTTTCACCTCGCATACCAGAATATAAAAGTACCTGTCCCGAAGGCAGGTTCGGCCAGCAGACTTCACTAAGTCCCAGGACTTCTAGCTTCATACGGCGGGCCTCACTGTGCCAGTTTACCCTGTTGGGCTTGCGTCAGTACATTCCATGTTCCAATTCTTGGCCGTTGTTTAGCGCTAAAAGTTGTTGCCATAAAATCAGTTCGTAATCTTTCACTATAGGTTTCTGCAGCAATTTGAAGGTTTCGGAGACAGCAGATGGTTGGCCTAAGGTCTCCTATAGCTTTCGGGGAGAAGCATTTCGTATTCAGCCGCTGGATGCCAGTCAGAGGCTGTTTGAGCCGCCTCCACTAGCGTGCACAGGAATCTTGTTAAGAAGGGGCATTTTTTTCTTTGGTGCTTAATCTGGGGATGGGGAGTACTCCAAAGTACGTCGTAGATGGTGCTGTCCTCCTCCCACTTTTTCCCTGCTTTCAGACAGCCAATGGAAATTGGCAATTTAATCCCATCGACGATGTCGATGATGATCGGTTCGTCAAATAGTTGCGATAGTAGGGCTTTATCCGAAATTATACATTTGCTGCAATGTTGTTGCCTTGGTGGTTAAATTCAGCTGAAGTCACGTCAGATGGTGGTGATAGCATCGACAAACCGAGATGAATGACCAATAAGAATCTCATTCTCCTTTCGCATGCACAATGCGTCGACAAGTACAAGGTTCAAACAGTGCACATAGCAGTGAACAAACAGTGCTTGGCACTGATGAAGTCTGCAAGTAGTAGACGAAATACGCGTATCTGTCAAAAGATAAGCAATTATAACGGAATTAAAAGGAACTAAACCAACACACTCAAAGCTGTTCGTTGACATTTTCAGAGAAGATTCTTCGACGATTTTTTAGTAAGACAACAATCGACCAAGGTTCAATGGCAAACTAATACCCACTTTTCAATTAGGGAATCCAAAAACTTTTTTTTTAGAACTCTATGAGCTCTTTTGAAATTCTTCTCAGAAGTCCTCTGGAATTATTTTTAGAACTCTCCTTGACTTTTACTCAGAACACATTGAAACTGAAATTTCCTTAGAGTTTCAGAAGAATATCCCCAGTATTATACAGCGAACATTTTTGGTCCTTCGAACCGGATTTCGGGGACTTTTGGACTGAAAAAGTGACCAGTGATATGGACAATAAGACTCCCTATGAAAAGACTCAGTGAAAGGTAGCCATCGAAGAGGATGTACAAGTGCAGTGACCTGTAACAATCATTTGCCGACCTCAATCACCACCATCGCTGGAGACAGACAGCTGATTTGTTCCAGTCCAGCCATGTCTAAATCAGCTGATCGTAGCAGCAGCAAAGGAACAGCGGAAAGGACCGATAGGCGCTATCGGATAAACGGGGAAGTAAATTGCATGTGTGAAAGGTTTGTTGGTGGACTCTTTGCATGTGAGTCAAATGGAAATGGTGAATCAGTGCAATAAAAATTTGATGGTGGAAACTGAATAAATTGAATCTCTAAATGCATGCGAGTATTTTTCATCCCATACGGGAATTGTAGATATCCATTTAGCCTCTGTGTTTTCTATTACGGTTGGTCATACAATTCTCTGCTGGTTTCTTTTCTCTGGTCTGTTTGGTTGGACCTTTGCTGTTGATGGTTTTGCTTTGCTCCCCCTGTCTCTGTCAACCGCGGGCTCGCGTGGGACGTCGAGTCGATAATTCGATTACGGGTACGGGTGCACAGTGGAGTGAATTACAGTGCAGTGTTAAATATTTCTGTGTGTGAACAGTTTAAACTTTTTGTGACATTGTAAGTAAACATTAACTATCAGTGGAAATGGCTAATGAATTGCGTGACTTGGTGAAACAAGAACGGAACACTGACGGATGATGTTGACGACGATGAAGAAGATGCTGCAACGGATCCCAAGAAAGATGCAGAAAATGCGAGGATCATCATGGATGCTGAAGACAAGTACTGTACCCTCAAGGCCATTCTGATGAGTCTTCGACCGAAGCTGGTAGATCCTACGGCTAACACTCAACCAGTCGCACACGGTGCCGGTGCAGGATTATGACGTGTTAAGCTTCCCGAGATTCGCTTGCCAACCTTTAGTGGACCGCTCAAGGAATGGGTAACGTTGCGAGATACATTCCGTAGCTTGATCCATAATAATCCACAGCTAACGGATATGGACAAGTTTACGTACCTTCGATCGTCGTTGAATGGAGAAGCGTTACAGGAAATCAACTCGGTGGAAATGTCTGACGTAAATTACGCAGTTTCCTGGGAAACGCTGGAGAAACGGTACGAAAACAAAAAGCTGATCGTCAAGGCTCATCTCGATGCACTTTTTGCTGTGGAGCCAACCAGGAGTTAGAGTTACGAGTCGCTTAATCGTCTTATCAGCGAATTCGATAAAAACCTGCTGATGTTGAAGAAGGTAGGAGAAAAGACCAATAACTGGAGCACCATTCTGGTTCACATGGTGTGTTCTCGTTTGGACTCAGCAACGCTTCGGAACTGGGAAGCACATCATAATTCGAAGAAGGTGCCGAAGTATGAAAACCTCATCCACTTTCTACGAGATCATTGCTCCGTGTTGCAGTCCGTCGCTCCTGCCAAATCCACGCCGATACCAGAGAAACGATCGAAGCCATCCGTCAGTAACTCAGCAGTCAAGTCAGCGAACAAGTGTCTGTTTTGTGGGGACGGATTTCATTCCGCTTTTCACTGCGTGAAATTTTTGAAGCTGAAGGTGCATGAACGCAGTGATGCTCTGCTTGAATTGTCTATCGCCAGGACATCAGGCACGATTTTGCAGCAAGGGCGTGTGCCACCACTGTAATCAGAAGCATCACTCCCTGTTGCACCCAGAATCACAGCAGTCAAGCGCTATTAGAAACATATCCTCCGTCCCACAAGAACAAAGTAGACCTCCAGCTGGTAATCAGCAACAACCACAGACACAAATACCAAACCAGAACCAACAAACACATGCTCACAGCGCTCACCAGTCTACAAGTTCTCTTCCCTTATTACACTCGCATAACACTGCACCACTGTCCACCACAAACCAACCATGCCCAACCCAGAACACTATCGCGCTTCCAACCAATACACTATCCACACAAGATATTCTACTGTCCACCGCCATTGTGTGTGTTAAAGATAGTTACGGTAACTCACGACTAGCTCGAGCGTTACTAGATTCGTGCTCGCAATTCTGCTTCATGACGACGAACTTCTCCAGTAAACTCAAGCTTCGAGCTTCACCTGAACAACTGTCAGTCCAAGGAATCGGTGGTTCAGTCGTCGTAGCGCGGAAGGTAGTTAAGGCAGCAGTTCTACCTCGCTCTCAGGAAATGTCATCGTACCGTGAGGAGATGAATTTCTACGTTTTGCCGGAGTTAACGGCAACCTTGCCTGCACGAAGAATCAACGTGAACCACTGGACGCTCCCGACTAACATCAGCTTTGCGGATCCCCAGTTCCACGAAACTGGTCGCATTGATCTGATAATCGGAGCAGAACACTACCTCAATCTGCTCTCTGACGGTCGTGAGAAGGTTGGAGATGAAGGCCCTACACTGCAAAATACAGTCTTTGGATGGGTGGTTTCCGGTCGAGCAGCCGATCAACCAGGCACGATGCATCGCACATTATCGTATTCGTGCACACTTGCAAACCTGCAAGAACAGTTGACGAAGTTCTGGGAGATAGAAACCTGTCGTTCCAGTAGTAGTCAATCGGTAGAGGAGACGGCGTGTGAAGCATTCTTCGATCAAACAACCACTCGTGATGATGCAGGCAGATTTATCGTCGCACTTCCAAAGCGTGAATTCATCATCAATCAGCTCGGCGAGTCCAGAAACATAGCGACAAGGAGATTTTTGGGCTTGGAGAGGCGATTCCAGTTGAATCCCGAGTTGAAGGCAGCGTACGCAGATTTCATCCACAAATACGAGCGACTTGGTCACATGGTGCAAGTTCCGGACGTCGAAGAGCAGTTTCCCGTGTACTATCTTCCCCACCATGCAGTTTTCAAACTGGATAGTACAACAACGAAGCTACGTGTCGTTTTCGACGCGTCCTGTAAGTCCAGCAGCGGTGTATCGCTCAACGATGCGCTAATGGTTGGACCTGTAGTTCAGGAGGATTTGATCGCCATCACACTCCGATTCCGTTTGTTCCGCATTGCCATTGTAGCGGATGTGGAAAAAATGTTTCGGATGATACTCATCTATCTACTCGACCGATGCCTACAACGGATCGTCTACCGAGATTCCCCTGACGGACCGATCCGAACGTACGAGTTAGCTACTGTCACTTACGGGACTGCATCTGCACCATACTTGGCGACAAAGTGCTTACAGCGACTGGCAAAAGAAGGAGCTCTCACTTATCCTCGCGCAGCTAAGGTGTTGAAGGAAGATTTTTACGTCGATGACATGCTGACTGGAGCGGACAACGTCGACGAAGCGAAGCAGCTGGCAAAGGAAATGATCACGCTAACTTCATCAGGTGGATTCAACCTGCGAAAGTGGAACTCCAACTGCAAGGAATTGTTAGCCGAATTGCCATCCGATCTCCTCGATGATCGTGCCACTTTAGAGCTTGATTCCTCAACTTCACCAGTGAAAACTTTGGGGTTACTGTGGGAGCCGCATTCAGACAATTTCCGATACCATTCTCCTAAGTGGGAAAACGAAGCAGTGCTCACGAAACGCGTCGTTCTCGCAGAAGCAGCTCGCCTGTTTGACCCGTTAGGATTGATGGGTCCAGTTGTCGTCATTGCCAAGATATTTCTCCAAGCATTGTGGAAGCAGCAGTGCGGTTGGGATGATCCACTGCCCGAAGCGATGCAGAACTTTTGGCAGGAGTATAAGATGAATTTGACAGCCCTCTCGTCGTTTTCAATTTCTCGAATTTTAGATTTTTTTCTCAGAACACCTTGGAACTGAAATTCCCCTAAATTTTCAGAAGAATTTCCTCTGTATTCTCCAGAAATTCTTACCGAAATGAGCTTGAAGTTATCCTCGGAATTTCCTTGAAATTTTCCCCAACATCCCTTTGGAATTTCATTCAAAATTTGATTATCTCGGTATTCCTTTCGAAATTATTTTGGAACTATCTGCAGGATTCACTAGAAATTATTCGCAGAATTTTCCTGGAATCATCCCCAGAAATCATTTCTTTTGAAACTTGTCTTTAGAATTCAATACCCTTGAGGTTCTTCTCGGAAGTCAAGTTTAAGTTGTCCGTCCATTCACCAAAACGTTTAAGTTTTTTCTACCAGAAATGTTCAATAAAGCTTGACCCTCAATTCACCAGAACTGTGCAAAGTTTACATCAGGAATTTTCAATTCAGCTATCGCCTCCATGTAGCAGATTGTTGCAAATCTTGCACCATAAATTTTCAATACAACTTGCCCCAGAAATTTTTACACCAGAAAATTTCAATTGACCAGAACGATGCAAATTTTCCACCGTTAATGTTCAATAAAAATTGTTCTCCAATCTTCTGATTGGTGCAGATATCCTTTTTCCATTTTCCACCAGACATTTTCAATATAGTTTGCTTTTCCTATCATCAGAATGTAGCAGGTTTTCCACCAAATAAAGCTTGCTCCTATTTTCAGATTTTTCAACATAAATTTTCAGTAAAGCAGCTTCCCTCCAATCATCAGAATGGTGCAAGTTTTACACCAGAAATTATTATTAAAGTTTGTTCCTCTATTGAGCAAAATGATGCAAATTTGAGACCGAACATTTTCCGACAAGCTTGCCCATCCGTTCAACAGAACGGTGCAGATTTTTCTACAGTAGTTTTCAATATAGCTTAATTTTAAATAAAGCTTGTGCCTTCATTTACCAGACCAGTGCAAGTGTTCCACCAGAAATTTTCTGTTCGTTTCATTTATCAGAGCGATACAAATTTTGCACCAGGAATTTTCAATAAAGCATGCTCCTCCATTCACCAGAACGGTGCACCAAAAATGTTCAGTGAAGTTTGTTTCACTATGTACCTTTGTGGTGCAATTTTCAGGCTTTGCCTCTTCATTCATCAGAATGGTGCAAATTTTCCACCATAAATTTTCACTGAAGCTTGCATTCATCAGAACGATGCAAATTATGCACCAGAAACATGAATAAACCTTGCTTCTACATTCACCACAGTGTTGCGAACGTTCTACCAGAAATTTTCAGTTAAATGTGCACCACCAAATGTTTTGCGTGATTCAATTTTTCCACCAGAATTATTCATTGATGATATTTTTACCCCAGAATTATTCAATAAAAAGCTTTTTCTACAATTTATCACAACGAAGGTGAATTTTTTCAACCTTAAATTTACCCTCTTCTTTTAACTCTTCATGAACCTTTTTAAAAAAAAACAAATCACTCCAGAATTTTTTTTGTATGCGCCACTGTGGTGCAATTTTTGACCAAAAATTTTCATTGAAGTTTGTCCATTCATGCATTGTTGTGGTGCAATTTTCAGACACCATCTCAAAGGAATGGATGCGATAAAAGGTTTTCAGTGCCCTTATAGTATAAAATGAAGTTATTTACCTGCAAATCAAGTTATCAATAAATCAAGTTATTTTATATCATAATTTGAAAATGTGGAAATAAACATCTTATATATAAAAGGAGGGGCAATTGCTCCACCTTGCCCACCATGTGCACGCCAGTGGCCGCCCCTAACATGGAGAACAGACGCTCGGGTTTTGTAAGCCACATCCTCCGAAAAGGATGCAGCTCCCCCTTCCCTGTCAGCATTAATCTTGGGAACAAGTATTTTGGACGTTTAATTCGCTAACACCACCCAGTCCATCATCTGTCTCACTAAAATCAATACGCCCCTCAATAGCGCCGAAGATATTTTTAGTTGGATCGCCCCCCTAATGAAGAGATCTGTGCACACTAGAGTGATGCAAAATTTGAAATTTTCGCTCCACAATACTTAAACGATTCCAAATCTGATCCTGACTAACCTCTCAAAATTTGAACTCATTTGGTGAGAAACTGAGATGGCACAAACCATTTGAAGTTTGTATGGGAATTACTATGGTAAAACCAAGATTTCTGTTCATGTCTATCTAATAATTCACCATATCGGTTTGCTTCAAAAACTTTCAACTGTACTTGTAGGAAATTTTCCCAGCTACAACTTTGCTGAAGACCATTTTTTGATTAAATGCAAGGATCGAAAGTTATCAATTGTTCAATGCGCTGATGTCTTATGATCATGCTCAATCAACTGGTCAGCAGGCAACATTGGTGTTTCTGGGGCGTTGAATAGGACACAAAAATCATGGCTACTATGTCACACTGCAAAATACAGTGTTGCCTACAGAGCAGCTGCTTGATCATGTCATAAGTTTACCAATCTCTTAAATAATTAATAACTTTCTTCTGTCTCGTTTTACATAGAAACGATCTTGAGCAAAGTTGTAGCTGAGAAAATTTTCTGTAAGAATTGCTATCGAACTGTTTCGCAGCTCAATATGGAAAAAAGACTAGAAGGCAATGAACAAAAAGTTGAGATTTCCCATAGTAATTTACATGTAAACTTCAAATGGTTTGTGCGAATTCTGTTTTTAACCAAATGAGTTGTAACTTTTGGAGGCTAATCAGGACCCGATTTGAAACCACTTAAGCACTGTGGAGCGAAAAAGTCAAATTTTGCATCAGTCTAAGTGCACACCTATGGTTGTTACACAGTTGTTACATTCGCATTTCGGTGCATTCTAAAATATTGCAGTAGCGCTTCGAAAGATTGATCACTACACGTACTTCCAGCGCCTACGGTCGACAAAGTTCAAACTTTCATGACTCATACTTGCGCATTATGCTCCGACGCCGTCTCCGCCGTCACAATAATGCGTTGTAAGCACATTACACTCGGCTTTTCCTAAGTGGTTCCATCGCAACCCTTTACCTAATTTCGTAAGCACCTACTTTTAATTGGATTTCCATGGCCGGCCGTCTGTGAGCACATCGCAGGTACTCCAAATTTTCGAGCTCACTTCTAAGAACACATTTGGATAATATTAACTCAATTACCCAATCTGCTTCCCAAATACCAGTATTACGCTCAATAACCTAAAGAGAGTGCTACTCGGACGGTGAGTGTGACAAAAAGGACAGTTCAAAAGTCGGTCACTTTCGCACGCAGCGGGATACCTCTAGGCAGGGACGAGGACCCTTTTGTGCCAGCAAATGAGCAAATAATTAAGTGAACCCATACACAGGCATCAAGAGGATTGATTGACTTTTCAGCAACCGAATTTCAGGTTCCCATGAGGCGCAGAACGAAACAAACGAATGAACGAGAAATGCAAACAAAAGCCACACTTAACGAGAGAAATGTGGGAAATAATGAGAACTTATTAAGTCACAAAATGACACAGTTTTCGGTGTTCTGGTAAAGGGATTTCTCCTGCTGAATGCGATCGAATTTGGAACCGTCTGGCGATTTCAATTTTCTGCCAAAACGATTTAAACTGCCGTTTATGGGTTCCAAAACAATATGACTCTTAATTAAAAGCAATTGTATCGACTTCCTTTGCTAGTCAGCCAGTCAACAGGCGGTCGGTGATCGATTGGATCGATAGGTGTAGAGGTATATGTATAGCGCGCATATGTAGGCGACCCTGCGGGGTGTTTGCTACCGTTTTCACCATCGCATCGGAAGCAGATCGATCGATCATGTATGGCGCCCTTGAACGGCACTGGAGAGCGAACCATGTGTGTGCGGCAAAGCCTTTCAACCACGTGTCATCTTCCGGTTCTTTTGTGATACCTTTTTGGTGTGTAACGAGGTTTTCGGGAAAATTGGATCTCATTAAAGCGAGGGATGAAATAAGTAGTTTGTAGCAGCAGCAGCAGCAGCAGATCGAAGGGCAAACAAAGGATACATATATTTTCAGACTGACCGGGAGAAAATGATTTCAACAGCAACCAGCCGGCTGTAGAAAATTTTGGCATGTTCTGTTTCCCCAGAAAGAAAAAAAAGAATGAGCCAACGAACTAACGAGAGTCCGAAAGGTCAGTTCCGAAACGATTAATTATAGGAGCTAAAGGATTCTCGCTCGGCCGAGACAACGAATTCCGAAAAAAAAGAGGGAAACTGAGAAAGATATGATTATCACTTGCATATTACGTATAATCTAAAATGGTTTATAACATATAATTATGTTCGAGTCGGAGCCAGCAGTGTTTTGGTTTGCATTTGGAGTGAGGATGGTGCCGGGGAAAAGGGAAAGGGGAACCAGCTTTGCAAATACACCGAGGGATCCAATGACTCCCGGTTCTTTTATGTGGTCTGTTCTGGTTTTGTTTTCGAACCAAGAACCACATCGTAGCATATGTAGCTACGGATGTTTTCTGTTCGCCGAACACACGCTTTCTTATATAGCTACCAAATTCCAAGGCCTTTTTCGGGGCAAAACTTGAGGAAGTTTTTTTTTTGCCCTCTTGCGCATAAAAACTTAAGTACACTTTCCAATAATTCCGATAATTCAACTGAAATAAACAGTCGTTGGAAAAGATTAAGTGAAAATTATGACCGCGCCGTCAGCCCAGCTAACTCCCAACGCCTAACTCCCTGACGCTGGATAAGTGACGATGATTAGTGCATGTACGTACATAACCCACTAGAGGGTGCTTAAACGGTTGAACAAGTAGTAATGCGTGCCGATAATCGTCGCCGTAGTCGTCGTCGTTGTGCATTTAGGCTCTTTTGAAGATAATCAACCGACTGCAGCAAGAGAAATGCTTGTAAGAGGTGCTATTTAGCAAGTTTTCAAACATCAGGAATGAGGCAGCAAGGAGGCAGATGCGGCCAATTTGCCAGAGATCCGGAGTTGAGTTTTGTGTATGCATAATTGAAGGAGCAATTTGACATCATTACAGTCTAACAAATGGTTGTATCAATCTTCTTTGCAGTGAATAA